TAACACATTTGGGCTTTGTGTGAAAAAATAATAAAGCGTGATCGCGTAATGATAAAGTGGATAAATGTTGTTGTAATGTAAAAGTATCTAAAGGTCAATTTGCTCTATGATATTGTTAATTTTTGTTTTTTTCCCTAAGGTTGAGAGGCTATTTCAGCGTAGTAGTAACTAGTAGGTGAGCTCACGGGGCTCAAGCCGAAGTGATGCTAACACTGACCCTAGCAAGGGCAGTGCTTCGCAGAATCTAACACCGGATCGGAAACGCGACCCACCCTCCTTTCCTCCAATTTGATGCTTTGTCAAAAACATGAATTAATTACAATTAAAAATATGAATTTATGAGTTAAACATGGTCAGGTGACGTAACACGCTTTTAACAGACCCTAACAGTTCCAGTTCTAGTTCTAGCACTAGTTCCAGTGCTAGTTCTAGTTTTAGTTCCAGTGCTAGTTCGAGTGGCTAGTTCTAGTGGTAGTTCAAGTTCTAGTGCTAGTTCAAATTCTAGTTCCAGTTCCAGTTCCAGTTCCAGTTCCAGTTCCAGTTCCAGTTCCAGTTCCAGTTCCAGTTCCAGTTCCAGTTCCAGTTCCAGTTCCAGTTCTAGTTCTAGTTCTAGTTCTAGTTCCAGTTCTAGTTCCAGTTCTAGTTCTAGTTCTAGTTCTAGTTCTAGTTCTAGTTCCAGTTCTAGTTCCAGTTCTAGTTCTAGTTCCAGTTCCAGTTCTAGTTCCAGTTCTAGTTCCAGTTCTAGTTCCAGTTCTAGTTCCAGTTCCAGTTCCAGTTCCAGTTCCAGTTCTAGTTCTAGTTCTAGTGGCTAGTTCTAGTTTTAGTTCTAGTTCTAGTGATAGTTCTAGTGGCTAGTTCTAGTGCTAGTTCTAGTGGCTAGTTCTAGTGCTAGTTCTAGTTTTAGTTCCAGTTCTAGTTCTAGTGCTAGTTCTAGCTTTAGCTCTAGTTCTAGCTCTAGTTCTAAGAAATTTTACCACCAGTTATTACTGATTAATTTGATTTTTATTACACGATCTTAATCATTCACCATGGAAGTCAAGCCTCCTTGTAGCTATTATGCCTTTCGGTATATAGACGGGGCGGTCATTATCACTAGGTTGTTACTAAAACTGGTATAACTTACAATGTGTCATCCAACTCAAACCACAAAATCGAAGTCATATAATATGTAGAACGGCCGTGATGCTCTTTTGGGCGTGACGGAGATAAAACAGTTACGCCGGTAAGAATAACGCCTACTATCGTCAAATAGCCGGAACGAATACCAAAGGATCTATTAACATCTAGAACACTCGAGAAGTACAACGCCATCTATTGTCAGATAGCGAAAACATACATCGAAAATATTTGACTTGTGAGGAATATCCTCGATAATTCTAGGGACGTCGTATAGACCATAAAAGCGTTGCAGAGATGGCACGAGTTAGTTAGTAATCGGAACTACTCGAAGCGAAACAGCGAACGGATCACCCGAAGCGAAGCGGAAGAAGTGAATTAAGAATTCTTAAGTGTCTTAGTTTTAATACGGTTTCAATTTGTACTTCGGTAGAATTTTTATTTATCCCGAACCCCAGCGCGTAAAAATACTTCCGAGGAAACGAAGGTAGACATAGATTGATAATGTGTACGTATTAATGGTACATTAAATGAACAAATTATACAGTTCCGAGATAAAATTTTCTCGAGACAAATGTTCACGATTGACTTCCACGGTGAAGGAATAACATCGTGTAATAAAAATCAAACCCGCAAAATTATAATTTGCGTAATCACTGGTGGTAGGACCTCTTGTGAGTCCGCACGGGTAAGTACCACCGCCCCACCTATTTCTGCCGTGAAGCAGTAATGCGTTTCGGTTTGAAGGGTGGGGTAGCCGTTGTAACTATACTGAGACCTTAGAACTTATATCTCAAGGTGGGTGGCGCATTTACGTTGTAGATGTCTATGGGCTCCAGTAACCACTTAACACCAGGTGGGCTGTGAGCTCGTCCACCAATCTAAGCAATAACAAAAAAAAAGCGTGCAGATCGCAAACACGCACGAGACAAGTGTAAAACATATCCATACTGCGAATCCTAAGCATCTGCAAAGAAATTATACCTATACAATCAGATTGGTTTCTTAACTTTTGTTTTCTTAAAAGGAAATTTAAACATAAATATTGGCTTGCGACAGATCCGTGAAATTAAACAAACATAATCATTCGAACTCATTAAAGTTTAAAGATATAAATTGGTTTCGCACAGATTGATATCCTAATCAACTTTCTAAATGGAAAATATATATTTAAATAATTTATTTATTTATTAGGCACACAAGCTAAAAAGACACAAAAAATACAAGTAAAAAGAAACAAATCTGACTTGCAACATAAGTTATGTGCGCACGACAAAACAAGACATAGTGCTGAATTTGTACACAACGTTCCTTACAACTAAACGACAAAACAACACGATAACGAAAACTAATCTAACTTATAATGTAAGGAAATAATTTTATTCACAACTACCTGACAACTAGTATAAAATAAACTTAAAAAAAATAAGAGGAATCCGTCCGACGGGGGACACATCAAAGGAAAAACAAAATTGTTATGTTTATTTAATTCCGAACATTTTCATATTTATCAAACCTTTTAAACCTTCTCTGGACCTCCACAAATAATTCAAGACCAAAATTAGCCAAATCGGTCCAGCCGTTCTCGAGTTTTAGCGAGACTAATGAACAGCAATTCATTTTTATATACCTAGTCAGGTCATAAATTCTGTCACATGTTTAATGTAAAATAATTGAAACAAGTTTATTCATTATGTAACCATTCATATACCACAATGAACTTAACAAAACATAGATTCTTATGACACTAAAGTTTATTCAAAATGACCTCCGTGATTTTGAATACAGGCCTTCAATCTGCGCGGCCAGTCGTCTATCGCAGCACGAACGAGGTCCATGTCAATATCGGCGGCTGCCTTAATCAAGGATGTCTTGAGTGACTCCAAATTGGGATGAGGCTTTGAGCACGCCTTTTCCTCCAAGTGTTGCCATATCTTGTAATCTAACGGATTCAAATCTGGACTGGAGGAGGGCCAGTCTTCGTGCCGGATGAAGTCGATTTCACGCGCCGCCAGCCAGTCTTGTGTGCTCTTCGCTCTATGAGCTGGCGCCGAATCTTGTTGGAATACCCAGTGCCTGTTATTGAACATGGTATGAGAAACAGGTTCCACAAGGTTCGTCAGGACTGTATTTTGATACACAACTGCATTCGTTTTTACACCTTTCTCACAAAAATGTACCTCTGTTAAGCCCCAATAAGAAACTCCCAACCATACCATGAGCGAGGATGGAAAATGACCTCGTTGGACACGCGGAATACGGTTGCTCGCTTCTTCACTACTGTGTGCGTACACCTTATCATTTTGTTTGTTGTAGCTCTCTTCTACGGTAAAAATTTTTTCATCCGAAAAAAGAATTTCCCGATATTTTTTTCCCGCGTACCGCTTCAACAAAGCGCGGCATCTCTTCAGTCTCAGGTCCATTAGACGAGCATTCAAACGATGTCCTGTTTTTCTTCGATATGCCCGAAGCCCTAAGTCTTCATTTAACACCCTTTTCACCGTGGTTCTGCTTAACCCCATCTGAAGGGCCAACAGTTTCTGCTTACGTTTGGGATTTCTTTGAATTCGCGCCTTCACAGCTTTTATCACTGCTGGAGTCCTAACAGACCGAGGGCGACCACTTCTTGACCTGTCATCTACACTAGAGTCTTCATTGTATCGTTTGATGGTACGATAAACGAATCTTTTGGTTATATTCAAATTTTTCAGTATGTTAAAAATTTGAATTGGCGCGTAACCGCAACGATGCAACGCAATAACTGCAACACGGTCTTCTTTAAGCGTCCACTCCATATTTAAAAATGAGTAAAATTCTAAAAGTATACATTTTTATTTTCATGAACAATTCGAAATTCGAATTCAATAAACTTTTTTGTGGCCAGCATTCTAAAAGAAAAGTTTTTACTGTGTGACAATACTTATGACCTGACTAGTTATATAGATATTTTAAGCTATTGCATAGCTTTTATCGCGGGCTTTGAGCGCGGCGACTGAATCAAGAAATTCCGTAACGAAAATAACCTGACACCCCCACTACTCCTACTATGTAGCTCGCGAGACTAACGAACAGCAATTCATTTATATATATATATATATACATTAAACAATTACACCACTTAACCTATTATTAAAGTGGAGGTGTCCTTGAATATTTTTATAAACGTCACTAACCTACACAAATAAAAATATCCAACTCAGTTAACGACCTTGCTTGCCTTAAGCCGGAACATTTTACCCGACTAGATCTGAAAGAGGATATTAGTTGAATACATATCATTGCACAGGGTGTAAAACCGCTAAGATCACACACGATTATCACTTAACATCAAATAAGTCGAATGATCGTTCATTTATCTATGCAAAAAAAAACCATAATCAACAGTTTCCCTGGTTGTTGAACTCTAAATATGTTTAGCTATACTTCATCATTAAAACACATCACATCAGCTGATCTCATACGAGTAAACGAACATTGGATCCCATAGACGCTACAACGTGAGTGATGGTGCCCATCTTCAGGCATGAATTGGACTTTTTAATTTTCTTCCAAAACAGAATGTTTTTACAATAAAATCATTTTTTCTTACACTATTTTTAATTCAAATTTATTAATATTTATTTTCTATTTTTTAGTTGGATTTTCTATAAAAGCGTATTTAGTTTTTTAAACTATTATTTATTTATCATTTTTTAGTTGAATTTAAATTTTTTCAATTATTTTCTTTCAAATTTTTTTATTGTCATCGGTCCTTAATAAGTATACCAAATTTCGAGTTAATCCGACGTTTTGAAGGGGCTCAAAATCATGTTCAAAGATTCTGTTACATACATAGGTACGTGTGAAGCCAATAAAAGCGTATTAAAAATAATTTTATTTCGCAGGATAACCCAGAGAACCAGTTTAAATCTATACCCCTCGGTCTTTGGTGGGCGATCGTCACGATGACCACTGTCGGGTATGGAGATATGGCGCCCAAGACTTACCTCGGGATGTTTGTGGGCGCTCTCTGCGCCTTGGCTGGAGTGCTCACTATCGCGCTGCCCGTTCCCGTGATAGTATCCAACTTCTCCATGTTCTACTCGCATACTCAGGCAAGTGGATAGACAGTAGCAATTTTATTTTGTTATTGATTAGCTTTTGCAGTTACAGGAATGTTCGACTCTGAGCAAATTAAACAGAGTTTTATAGTACCAATTTTTTCTAAGGAACTGTACGTATTTAAAAAATGTTCACGATTGACTTCCACGGTGAATGAATAATATCGTGTAATAAAAATCAAATCTGAAAAAAATCTAATATGCGTAATTACTGGTGGCAGAAGGTATTGTGAGTCCGCACGGGTGGTACCCTGTCAATTTCTGCCGTGAAGCAGTAACGCGTTTCAGTTCGAAGGGCGGGGCAGCCGTTGTACTGTTAAAAGTGAGATCTTAGAACTCATGTCTCAAGGTGGGTGGCATTTACGTTGTAGATGTCTATGGGCTCCGGTAACCATTTAACATCAAGTGGGCTGTGAGTTTATCCACACATAAAATACAAAAAAAAAAATTGGTGTAGGGTACTCAATGATATCACCATCTCAATCTGACCTTGAGACAGAAGATCGAATGCTTTTAATAATGGCGGTTCCAGCCTTCAAACTAGAACTCATGATTACTATACGCCAGAAATAGGCATGATAGGAAACACTACACGTGCGAATTTACACATAACTGGCAGTAAATAGTACGACTGTAGGTAGGTCTTAAGACTTAATCAATCCCATCATTCTCAGGAATAACAATAACAGAAGCAATCAAAAGTATCAAATTCGCGTATCTTCGAACTACCAAAAAGCCGTTGAGTTTTGGTTCAATGTTTTTTTTTTATTGCCTAGAAGGGTGGACGATCTCACAGCCCACCTAGTGTTACTGGAGCCCATACGCATTTACAACGTAAATGCACCACCCACCTAGAGATATGAGTTCTAAGATCTCAGTATAGTTACAACGGCTGCCCTACCCTTCAAACCGAAACGCATTACTGCTTCACGGCAGAAATAGGCGGGGCGGTGGTACCTACCCTGGCGGACTCACAAGAGGTCCTACCACCAGTAAAAAATGTATGTCAAAAATGTTTGTCTTTAGAAAACAGTTTATAAACCATTTCGATCGAAACCGTAAATTTTTAAATGAAAATTTCCGTGTAATATTTTCATGTCGAAATACGTGGTTCAGAAGTTTAAATGGACCGTGAAAAGTTATCTAGTGTCGGACGTAGAACGGAGTTTCGGGAATGTAATGTGTGGAAAATTTAGTTTCTGACATGCTAAATGGCATTAAAATACATTTGTTTGTTTGGGGAAATTGAATTTTAGTTAGACGGCTTTGTTTCTGTTTTACTGTGTGCCAATTTATGTGTCTTGTCAAGAAAAGTTTTGGAAGGCTTTTTTTATTAGGAATTTAGGTCACTGTATAGTAGCTCACAGTAGTCATGCTACCGACACGCTAAGTTTGCCCCACCCTTCAAACAGAAACGCATTACTGCTTCACGGCAGATATAGGCAGGGTGATGGTACCTACCCGCGTGGACCCACAAGAGGTCCTACCACCGGTAATTACGCAAATTATAATTTTGCGGATTTTGATTTTTATTACACGATGTTATTCCTTCACCGTGTAAGTCAATTGTGAACATTTGTTGAGTACGTATTTCATTAGAAAAATTGGTACCCGCCTGAGATTCGAACACCGGTGCATCGCTCAACACGAATGCACCGGACGTCTTATCCTTTTAGGCCTTTAGAACTTATCTCAAGGTGGGTGACGCATTTACGTTGTAGATGTCTATGGGCTCCAGTAACCACTTAACACCAGGTGGGCTGTGAGATCGTCCACCCATCTAAGCAATATGTATAATATATGCTAGCATTGCTAGCTGCTTTAATGGATACTTTAGCTGCTGCAAATTAACTGGAAAATTAATCTTAACGTAATCCACTAGGATATATCGGATGGTCCTAGATTAGCACACGGACAGAAATCTAAACGAATTGTTAATCATTAGGAATAAAATTCTAGATAAATAGAAATCTTTATTGCGCAAAACAATTACACGGTGTAGATAAAAAAGAACCGAATAGCCATAAACTACAGCCAATGCATGCTAATTAGATCATTAACTGAAGAAAGTACTGGATGTGGCATCTCTTTAATTAGATTCGAGATTACAAAGTCTTTAGTTACAAAGATTTACTGTAAACATGTGATTGCAAGCGTATGTAGCTAGTTAGCTGTAAGGAACATTAAGGAATATTGTTTCGTACAGTTTTTTTTTATGTATTAAAATGGTGACTTTAATTAGTTAGTGAATTAGAAAAGGAGTATTATTTCCCCCTTTTTTTATTGCTTTGACGGGTGGACTAGCTCACACACAGCTCAACTTGTGTTAAGTGATTAAGGTCACATAGACATCTACAACATAAACGCTACCAACCTTGAGATATAAGTTCTAAGGTCTCAGTGTAACAACGGCTGCCTCACCCTTCAAGCCAAAACGCATTACTGCTTCATGGCAGAAATAGACAGGGCGTGGTACCTACCCGGGCGGATTCAAGAGGTCCTACCTCCAGTAATTACCAGTAAATTATAACTTTGCGGGTTTCATTTTTATTACACGATGTTATTCCTTCACCGTGGAAGTTAATCGTGAACATTTGTTAGGTACGTATTTCATTTGAAAAATTGATACCCGCCTGCGGGATTCGAACACCGGTGCATCGCTACACACGAATGCACCGGACGTCTTATCCTTTAGGCCACGACGACTTTTTTTGCTTCACGATATTTCTCTATAGAACTAAGTAAGAAATTATAACATTTTAATTGTTAAAGATTTAGGTATTTATTTATTTATAAATTTATATACTAGACAGTATAAAGGCGGACTTAATGCCATAGGCATTCTCTGATAGTCTACCTTAGGGGAGTGCAGAGATGAACCTTAGTAGGTGTAGTATGATAGTGATATTACTTAAGCAAAATTCAAATTCAAATTCTTTTTTTATTTTTTTACTGCTTAGATGGTTGGACGAGCTCACAGCCCACCTGGTGTTAGGTGGTTACTGGAGCCTATAGACATTTACAACGTAAATGCGCCACCCACTTTGAGATATAAGTTCTAAGGTCTCAGTATAGTTACAACGGCTGCCCCGCCCTTCAAACCGAAACGCATTACTGCTTCACGGCAGAAATAGGTAGGGCGGACTCACTAGAGGGCCTACCACCAGTAATTACGCAAATTATAATTTTGCGGGTTTCACTTAGTAGTAGTAGCGAAAGTACGTATTTCATTAGAAAAATTGGTACCCGCCTGCGGGATTCGAACACCGGCGCATTACTTCAACACGAATACACCGGACGTCTTATCTTTTAGGCCACGACGACTTCAAAACTGAAATAAATACATATACATAAATATATACATATAAATAATTATTATCAATTAGATGACTCTGCTAACTCTCTGAGAAACAGTTCCCGAACCGTCGTCTTAAACGCTTCACGGGTAGCGGCCGAGATCTAGATTTCAAGATTCTTGCGCTTTAAAAAGTATACTTGAATATAGCAAATTATTTGAAAGCCAAAACTGCTCAAAAGGATTCCAGAGGTCGTTAGCCGCGTAACTAGCTACAGAGCTACAGAGAAAGCAGGCTGCACGCTGCCATCCGTGGCTGGCTAATGAACCGGAAAATTCATTCAGTCAGCCTTTTATAGCAACTACCACATAAATAATAATAATAATATAACTCTTTATTTAACACCACATGTACAGAGTAAGCATTAAAAACAAATAATAGACGGTGACATAAATTGGCGGCCTTATCGCCGAAAGCGATCTCTTCTAGGCAACCTTGCAGGGAGAGGAATAAGCAAACTACCATGGACGATGTAATATCTTAACAAATGTACATAAAATATATATATTTATATACACATGTAAAAAAAATACAATATAAATCAGACTTACATACGATTAAATACAAATAAATACTAAAAAAATGCAAGTAAATACAAAATAAGTAGCAACTTATACAGCTATATCGTAGTAGCTATATTATTGTGCAAGGTAGTGCGATTTTCTATCTGAACTTGAAAATTTCCGAAAATAATAATACTTAATGGAACACCAATCTATACTTCAATTGTTTTTTTTTTTTTTTTTTTATTGCTTAGATGGATGGACGAGCTCACAGCCCACCTGAAGTTAAGTGGTTACTGGAGCCCATAGACATCTACAACGTAAATGCGCCACCCACCTCGAGATATAAGTTCTAAGGTCTCAGTATAGTTACAACGGCTACCCCACCCTTCGAACCGAAACGCATTACTGCTTCACGGCGGAAATAGGCGGGGNGACATCTACAACGTAAATGCGCCACCCACCTCGAGATATAAGTTCTAAGGTCTCAGTATAGTTACAACGGCTACCCCACCCTTCGAACCGAAACGCATTACTGCTTCACGGCGGAAATAGGCGGGGTGGTGGTACCTACCCGTGCGGACTCCCAAGAGGTCCTACCACCAGTGATTACGCAAATTATAATTTTGCGGGTTTGATTTTTTTTTTTTATTACACGATGTTATTCCTTCACCGTGGAAGTCAATCGTGAACATTTGTCGAGTACATATTTCATTAGAAAAATTGGTACCCGCCTGAGATTCGAACACCGGCGCATCGCTCAACACGAATGCACCGGACGTCTTATCCCTTAGGCCACGACGACTTCAGGTGGGCCGTATGCTCATCTGCCTACAAGGGCAATAATTTTTTTAAAAAAAAAACGCTCATATTACGTACGCACATACGTATGTGTAATTATTTGATGTGCTATCTATATTACTCAATTTTTTTCTTTTTATTATATTATATATCAAATGTTTTTGAGCGTTATAATTATGAATAATAGTGAAGTCGTTTTGAGCTCGATTATATACATAGTAAATCGCATTTTGGTCCTCACGATACAGGCTATGCCTAGTGTGAGGATCATTGGTTAATATTATTTATTGTTGATGCCATCTGCGTAATCTTCGAACACCGGTGCATCGCTTCA